TTTTTCCTGACGAACTAAAGCTGTCCGTAATTCGACCTATTTTTAAAAAAGGTGACAAGTCCGATCTTAATAACTACAGACCTATAACTAAAATACCTATTATCTCAAAAATATTTGAAAAAGCCTTTCTTTGTAGAATGAATAATTTTTTGGATAAGCATGATATTTTAACAGAGGAGCAATGTGGGTTTCGTAAAGGGAGATCAACTACACTTGCCGGTTTTAAATTAATTAAGTGTATTACTGAAAATCTAAATCGTAATATACCAGTAATGACAGTATTTCTTGACATGTCCCGAGCATTCGATTTTGTTGACCACTCAATACTACTAAAAAAGATTGAATTATATGGCATTAGAGGTAAAGCATATGACTGGATTCATAGTTATTTAAAGGGTAGAATACAATGCACTGAAATACAGAAAGTCGTTAAGGAATCAAATAACAAAATTTATAAGAAGAATTTCAGATCGGAAATATTGTTAAATGAAAGGGGTGTGCCGCAGGGCAGCATTATTGGTCCATCATTTTTTATATTATTTATTAACGATTTTCCTAAAATGATAAGCAATGACTGCGTACTTTTTGCTGACGATATCACTTTAGCTGTAAAATGTGACAATAAAGAGATAGCTGAGACTCAAATTAATAAAGCATTGTCTGAGGCTAATACCTGGCTAGTCGCAAACCGACTTAATATCAACATGGAAAAAACCAAGATCATGCAATTTCATTCTTACCAAAGTAAACCTCTGTCTGTTAAACCATGTCATAATAAGGTTCTTATTGAAAGAGTTGAATCTTTTAAATTTCTTGGTACAATTGTTGATAAGAATTTAAACTGGAAATGTCATATCGATTCTGTCTGTTCGACAATAGAAAAATTCGTTTTTGCCTTAAAAAGGTTGAGACAAACAGTATCGACAGAGGCTGCGCAAATGGCTTACCACGGATATGTTTCATCCGCCTTAAGTTATGGACTGCTCTTATGGGGTAACTCAGTAGATATCGATAGGGTTTTTAGGATGCAAAAAAAATGCATTAGAATGTTAGATGGTGCTTGGTTTCTCGAAAGCTGCAAACCCTTATTTAAAAAATTTGAAATACTTCCATTGCCCTGCATGTACATAAAGGAAGCATGTTTATTTGTCAGGGATCACAGCAAGTATTTCGAGAAGCGCGTAGAAATGAGCAATAGACACACGAGATGTCAATATAGATACTTATTATATCAGCCTCCTTGCCACGCATATATTTATAAAGTTAATGCTTATAACATGTTAATATGTATATATAATAAATTACCTGACAATATAAAATTAGAAACTGGGACACTGTTTAGAAGTAAGTTGACAAAATGGTTACAAAAAAAATGTTATTATAGTATTAAGGAATATATGACAGATGAAAAAAATAACTGACTGCAATATTTGCACACCTGCCTGCAGGTAGAATACACGTACTTACTTAATATGTATCAACTTGTGAACTGTATTTTGGCAAATAAATTAAATTATTATTATTATTATTATATATTATTATTAAAATGGTTGATATATCGGATATCGATATTTTCCTGACTTCGAAATAAATATCGATATTTCAAAAGACTTTGCATCCCTAGGCGTAATGCATATCAAACTAATGCCTAAAAGGGCAGTTACTGAAATCGGAAGTGAGATTTTATTTTACAGAATCGCCCTTTTTTCTTTTTTTTTTGTAATGTAACAAAATAATGTTTTTTTATCACGCAGGTAAAAAATCTTTTTACAGACGACGGCGCCTTTAAGAGGCACACCGCCGAACGGATCTCACACCTGGCTCCCGCAAGTCTTACGGACCCCCCAGTGGCTGACCACCGAGGACCCCGCAACTCTTACGGGCGCTTTACGGCATAATATCCGCTAAAAAAAGTCCTGCGAATACCTTCAACACTGCTTGATGCGGAGCCGCGGGATCCCCTTGGTGGGATGTCTCCGCATCCCCGCACCCAGCAGCTTCCCGGCCTCACCGGGGCTCCACGGCAGGGGTCTCCCGAGGTATTGCGGGGACCCCGCAGACGTGCGCAGGTAGGCCCGCGCGTGGGGCCTAAGTAGGCGCGGCCTAGTGCCCACTGTACCGCCCCCCGTCCGTTGCGGAGGACTTCTTGAGCGTACCCGTCCAAGTAGCCCTCCGCCGCCCCCCCCCCCCCTTGTAGGACAAAACTACAAGAGGGGGGTACAGAATCGCCCTGCAGATCGGAAGCATTCGTACGAGTTCGCAGATATTGCTTATGCGATACGAATTTGCAGTTATGAGTGCCGAGCACTTAAGTGACAAATACTAAGCACTTTAAATGGAAATTTGTGTTCGCATAATTAAATTAGACAGCAGTCTCTCCTTTTTATTCACTATAGACTATAAAGGGATATCCTTGTTTCATTTAATGCTAGCACCACAGGCTAGCACTATGAATTCTACATGTGTATTCATATTTTCTATATTCAACTTCCTCTGAGACAAAATGTAAACAAAATAATGATTTTTAATCTTTATCGATCATTCTGGTTCGATCTTTATCGAACCAGAATGATTACAAAATTTCACATTTGAATGTGAATTATTTGCCTTATCACTTTCATTTTAGTTGTAATTTTTGTATAAAGTTTGGAAATAGCTACTTTTTTAGTTCCTTTTATTGTTTTTCTTTTAATTATGATTTTAGATGTGTGTAAAATTTGACCTATTGAAAAACCTTTTTAGGGTTTATTAACACTTTCTCTCGGAAGTTGAATAGCGTTTATATGTTTTACTTCGAAAGAATATTATTGACTGATGGAATCCTTCATTTAAAGATTCCGTACACTCAATAAAAGTCTTTTGAAGGTAGCTCGTCAAAGTAAATAAAAATCATAATTCTGACCATGCAGCATCAAAAAAGTAATAAAAGGCGCATTTTGAACCCCTTTAAGCAGGTTTTATTTAACGAGTGGTGTGCATGAAAACCTAAGAAATGAATAAGCAAAATATTTATTCATTTTCTAACTGTGCATGAAAAGAATGTACTGCTATCAAATGTACAAAGAGCCATGTGAATTCCCAGTATTGCATAAATTTCCTTCACTAATGCAAAATAATATTTTCTTGTAAATGCATCAGTAGCCTTTAGTGCTATTTGTTCCGGGGTTGGAGTGGTTAACCCTTAATTAATAATGATGAAATCAAATAAGCGTTTTCGAAAACAGGTCCCAATCAGAACACTTTTCGAACAAATAAGTTAAGTTATGGTAATAAAATGTGTGCTTTGCTTCAATAACAAAAAATAGTCTTAGCACAAAACATAACTACCATCATAAAGTACATTTGACAATACCATGTCAAAATCCATATTACACATGAAAGAAATACATTGCATGCATACATTTACATGATATATATTAACAATGTAATAGGTACTGCATGGATTTTTTTCTGATTATATTTTCTTTAGATTTAAACATCAAGCAGTTACATGATTAAAAATTATAAATGTAACAGGTTGTTTAAATTAATGGCTGTTTTTTAAAAATGCTTTCCTCAATGATGACTTATGTGGCTTCTGTGGAAATGAATCAATGTACAACAGTTCAAGAACTCGCAGAAGCTTTAGGTGTTACAATTAGAACCATTTCCAATCACCAGGAAGAACACAAGTCAAAAAAGCTAGACAATTAACAAAAGTCTGCAAAATCATTGGTTAGAAGTTTTCGTGGTCTTCGCTCATTTTGCGCAATAATAGTGATCCTTTTAGCGACCAGATAATAATGTGGTTGGTAAGCTCAATGGTTGGAACATGAACAAACACCACAAAGTTTTTCAAAGCCAAAATTACAGCAAAACTACGAGATATTGACTATTTAGTGGTGTGTTTCTAACCCCATTCATCACAGATTATTGAATCTGGGTGAAACAATTATGGCTCAAATATATTGGATCAAATGGTTCTTATTTTGACTAATAATGTTTTGTTGTACATAAATACATACTAATGTTTGTACATTAAGGTTGAAAAACCACCATTTATTTTTAAATCACCTAATATCAATAAACATTCAATGCTATTTTAGCTTTCCACATTTCGCATCAGCCAGGTCAAGATTTGATTTTGTATCTTGATGGACTATTTCTATGTACAAGGGTTATCTCATTCCATTTACAATCAGGTTTACTTGCACCAACATTCTTAAAGCAAAATTAAAATGCAGTTCATAAATCATTTCTTTTGTCAACTAGTTCAAATTATGTAAATAATTTTACTTTTGGTTTTATTTACAAACCTAGGAACAAGTGTGCCTTACAACTATATTACATCAAATCAGATTATTTTTATATTTTTTGGTGGTGGTGATACAGTCCAAACACTTTGTTTCAGAAGTATCATTATTATATCTTATATCATCGCAAAGCAAATCAGAATACAATAAAAATAATGTAGTGAAAGCATGTGGTAATGAGTTTTATAGCTCTTCTACATAATGTCCCAGCTCTGGGACATCAAATAGTCTGTGAAATAGCTATACGATAGCAACAGCCACTTCTAATTAAAGGGAAACAAGAAGGAAATGGGATCTATTACAAATTTTCGAATCTTGTGTATAAGAATCTTGTATTATTAACGATAATATAAGATAAATAAAAAACCTGTAAGTTTTGGGCCTAAATAAAATCAAATCTAATGAGCAAAGTATTGTCATTGAATTGCAATTTCTTCCAGGTATTGCCTAGATTATTACTTAACAACTGATGATGCAAACTTTGAATAGACAATTAATCTATTGCAGTTCCCATGTTCCTTCCGATGTGATAGAGCAATGCAATAGCAGGTTAGTATTTTCTGCATTGTATTAAATTAAATGATTCATAACTGTACTATAATATTGTAATGTGTATTGATACTGTTTTTCACTGGGGTATCTTTCACTAGTTCTTGTACAGGTTGTGATAGAACACCTTGTTTAAAACCAATATTATAAAATACTTACACCCTCGAAAGTAAATGCTGAAGTTTTTTTCCCTTTTTTCTTCACAAACAGTGGTTCAAACTCCTCGTCAGAATTCCCTTCGAGAGGTGGCAACGTGCTGGTTCCAAATAACTTCCGCACATTACGGGTAGACATTTTCTACAATATGTTTACAATTATTAATAAATAAGAGTGACAGTATATTAATTACTAATAATCTATAGATAAAGCAATTGTGCTTCATGTTGCTGTCTTTGCATTGTATCACATTTAATGTTTTACAAAATCTGTCACAACCTGTTAAACCTTTAAATAAAAAAAATACTATTATTGCAAAGGTACCTTACCTTACTCAGCAAAAACCGCAAATCGAAATTGATATTTTTATTTTTTAAGTATAAAATTTCTCGTGTGACGACAGCGTTTATCACCACAGACTAGTTAGAGATACTACGTATTTATCACTTTTCCTCTCAGAGTAACAAAGTCTATGGAGAAGCTCTTGTCAACATATAGAAAATTTTACTTATATAAATACGAGGCATTTATGACATAAAGCGTAAAATATATCTTTATCTCTTTCTTTCCACAGTACAATTGTGTTTGACGAAGGAGACAGACATATTCCACTCAATGCTAAAATATCATAGAAATCTGTCAAAAGTTTAGGCACGTGCCAATTCCGCCATTTTATGTTACGAGTTTTGAGGTATTTGTTCTGTCATCAGTTTGTATACAATTTGGAAATATTGAGATATACTGCTTTGTTAAGAGAAAATATGTGCTAAAATACGTGGTAGTGCGGAAAAACTGGTTGTAAATATGCCTAAATGTTGTGTCGTGATGTGTAGTGCAAGAAAAAACAAAAATCAACCTCAATTGACGCTTCATAGGTTAGTAAACAGTTTTGAAGAATATCGTTTGATTATTATAAGTTATGTGTACTGCATTATTATAAGATGCTAGTTTTTCAAAGTTTATTATGATCTTCAACTTCAATTAGATGATTAATGTGGATATTTCTATAATTTATTTTAACATTGTTTGTTTACATACTGCTAGTGATGACAAGCGCTATGTTGAAGTTTAATATCGATTTCGATAAATTTTTACACTTTATCGTTTATCTTCTTGAGTAATGCACGTCTGAACAGAGTTAATATGAGAATTGGTAAGACTAATTACATACATACTATCACGCTCGTTATCCCACAAGGGGTTGAGCAGAGCTTTAGGTAAAACTTAGTTGCACATAAAGCCACATCTGGCGGAGAGGGTCAATCAGCTCCCCAAAATAGTGACAAATTGCCAGCCTGTTGCCTACAAAACAAGGGGTTGACCCGGGTTCGCCATAGCCTCGTCTGTTAGCTAGCAGGTGTACCATGTGCAGGTGAGGTTGGCTTGGATCCCATTGGATGTTGGATGTTATTCGGGACCCCTTACACCCCGGTAAGACTAAACTGTTAACAATATAGTCATGTTAGGTGCAACAGGAGATCGGTAGTTGTTACGTTTTCTTTGTGAATTGATGAATAACTTACTTTAATATTTTTTTAATTCACAATTTGTTTAATTCAACAGATTTCCTACAAATGAAATTCTGAAAAAGAAATGGATTCAAGTTATTAAGATATAAGTTATATATCATAGAAAATATAAACCCACGGCATAAAATGTGGTATGTCTGCTCAATGCACTTTGATGAAACAAGCTTTAATCGGACTCTTGACGTAATAAGATTGCGTGATGGATCAGTGCCCTTGTCTTCGCTTTTGGTAAGTATTTATTTCTAACCATTTTTATATGTACGTCTATACCTAGCAGTTGAACTTTATTAAAACATAATGATATTAAATTCTAATGTAATGTACATAATTACATACTTACAGTACTTCAAACAAAATATCACAACATTTCACACTCAAACTAAAATAATTTACCTATAAAATAACAATTTTATAGGTAGGTAATTGATAAATTTTATTTTATTTTTCAGCTTAGTTCCAAACAAACATCAAACTTACAAGATCCTACAAGTTCGATGGTGAGATTATTTAGAGAGAAGATAGATTTTTAGTAGCCTTACATTAAAATATTATTTTATATTTAAAAGCCTTAGCTTACTAATAGTGGTTTACATAAAGACATTATAAATATGTATTGGCATTATGATGTCAATATTACTTTTACTTGATAACAAGACTGGATTATTATTTTAGATTTCCCCGACAACCAGTACACATGTTTTGCGTGAAACACAAAATATGACAATATTAAACTTTCCTGATGAGAATTTTAACAAAGATGCAACTGTTGTAAAGGTAAACTTTAGTTAATTTTTAACATTATTCAGGTATTATGCTATTATAAATATTTCAAATGATTTCTATCATGTTCTCTGACTATCACCTAATATTATAACATTCGGTAGATGGTCTATGTTTACTCCTAAATTTAATAATAGATTAATAAGAGAGATGAATTAATACTTACCACTAGACTACTGTTGTTTCATTTATTTAGATTAGTTTTTCCATGAAATATTTGTTATCTTAAACATAAAAATAAATGTTTGGTACCCAAAGAAAGTACTACAAATATGCAATTTTTTATATAAAAAGGGGCCTGTAAAAATTATTAATATATTATAATTTCTTTGATGAAGGGCTGGTGGGTTTTTATTAACATTATATTTTATTTTAGATTCAACAAGATGAAAATATTAAAAATCTCGCAGAAAAGTGCGATAAACTTAAGAGGAAAGTAAGACGCCTAAATGAAAAGGTGCGAAGGCGTGATGGAAAAATTGCACTTTTAACTGATATGTAAAAAAAAAGGCTAAGTAAGGCGATGTCACGAAGAAGTTGTAGAGGCTCAAGGGAGTCCGTTCAAAATTAAAATCTAAATCAAAAATGTCTTTATTTAAATGGACTTTGCTAAATACTTTTAAATCATCAATTCCCTACCACCGTTTCGAGACGAAATAGTTATTTCACTTAAATAATTATTATGCTGCTTATACGGAGAAGAAACGGCGAAAGAAACTCCACAGCTTACAATTTCATAATGATTTCAAAACATCATAGGTCAAAAGATATGTATTATAAAAGAATTACTAGTATTAAAAGATTCTGTCTCTCCCTATCGACACTGTACTGTCGTCTGCATAGCAATATATGCTTCCTAAAGATAGCATGTCATTGATATGCAGAAGAAACAGTGTAGGGGATACAACGGAACCTTGCGGAACTCCAGTTTTAACTGCCACGAACCGCAAAGCGCAGCCGTCGATGACGACACTGATTCTACATACACATCTAGCAATATGGCTCGTGTGGTGCCTCTGAATAGTGACAGGTTAGACAGCGTATTTTCTCTAACTCAACTACAGTAACCCCACAGACTTGAAATGTATAGGATACTCCTTGTTAGTACTGTTGAAATAGTGAGTCCATGGTCGCAATAACTTGAGCACAGAATAGAGAGGCATGAGCTAAAACCTCTGAAAAACACATCTAGCAATATGGCTCGTGTGGTGCCTCTGAATAGTGACAGGTTGCCAGCCTGTCGCCTAAATTAAAAGGGGCACTAAACCCAATAATAGCAATCCTTCAGTATACAACCAAACGCAAAAGCCAACAATAGGACAGATTTTACAATCGAAACCATGTAAGCAGTCCGGGTAGTAACTAATGAAATAATTGGTATTAACCTAAATATTGTTATTAATACCCATTAATTTTTAGTTGATTTAAGAACAAATTTCGTGTTATGTATGCCGACATGTTTAAGATAACACAAAAAATTTGAAAATCTAAACATAGATAAACGTTATGTAAAAATTATCGATATTAGATCATTCTGCAATGGTACAATACTAGGAAAGGCAGCCATTTTATGCGAATAATTTTGTGTAGGTATGCATGCTAATTTTGTAGGTATGGCTGGTCCATAGGTTTATTTAGTCATTGCTTTTCCTATTTGCCTTTTTGCCCACAGACTACTTTTGGCAGCACTTCACTTTTTTTTTATTATTATAATGGCTCGCACGGTTTGTGCATTGGCCACGACAGGGTAAAAGGTAAGGAAACGAAACCAAAATAATGAAATAAAAAGGTTGTGAAACGGAATTTGGAAGGATTAGGATCAGGTAAGTACGTAAAATTAATTTGAAACGTAAGTAATAGGTCTTTTTAAATATATAAAATACATTATATTATTTCTAATAAATTACTTATAATTTTATATTATGTTTAGTTAGGAATTCAGATAGCTTGTTATATATATTATAATTTTTATAATACAATAAGGAAGGAATAGAAGTCGGGAGAGGTACGTTAAATTAATGAATCCATAAAAGAGGAGGAATCATTGAGGGGACACTCGAAGAAGATGTGATTTAAATCCTCTGCTCCAGTACCACAAGCACCAATATTATCATTTACTATGCCCAGTTTAGCCTGGTGGGAAGAAGAACAGTTATGACCTAGGCGCATTCTTATGAGACTTAATGTGGCAAACTTACTTAAATGAATTTTAGAAAACCATGGTTTATCGGGAATACATTGTTGAATTAATTTATAATGTTTACCTTTGATGCGACTACTAGTATCCCAATTTTCTTCCCAAGATATGCGAAGATGCACTTTAGGAAGTAAAAGAAGATCATTTACTAAATTTTTATAGGGAAAGACGTCACCACAATTCACTGAATCTTTAGCGAGTTTATCAGCTACTTCATTGCCAGTGATGTTATGATGGCCAGGTATCCACGCAAAGAGCACATTTAGATTCTTCAAAGTACAATTCAGTAATAATTTCTTACAATCGATCAAATAAGCATTAGAGGAAGAAGCTTTAAAAGGAAATTTTTCTATTGCCTGTAAAGTGCTTTTGGAATCGGAAAAAATAATTGTCTTTTTGAGTTGTGCAAGCAAAATGTATTCTAATGATTTAAGGATTCCATAACATTCTCCTGTGTATACTGAGGTTTCTGGGGGTAATTTAATTTTTTGTGTTATTTTATACTGTTGGTGGTAAACACCGATTCCAACTATCCCAGTAGATGGATGTTTAGATGCGTCACAGTAAATGTAATGCCATTCTGGCCATTCTGTATTAACAATACTCATTAGATTAATATTAGCATTTTTATCATTACGTAAAGACTAGTCTAGATAAATTACTTTGGGTGAAATGGTAAGAGCTTCATAATTAATAGAAAAAATAGGAAGATATTGTGATCGGTGGGTGGGTGCTAGCAGTGAAGTAAATTTAATGTAGCTGATTACCAAGCAAGGAAGCGATTTGTTATTCCAATATGCCGAATTATTAATTTTACGCAATAAATGGTGTAACTTTTTAAAAAGAGGGTGGTCAGAAAGTTGAAGAGCTCTAAATAGAAATTTATCACATAAAAATTGTCTCCTTAGTTTTAAAGGAGGCTACACACATTCAATCTGGAGTGCATTAATAGGGCTTGACTTCATGGCGCCTGTTCGTGAATATTAACCGGCGCTATGCCTTGCCCCGAACTTCTTTATTTTGTTAAGGAAACGCTTGTAAGTTCAGGGATAAATATATAATTAGAGCGTACAGAAATTATAAAAACACAAACTTATAAAACTTACTTCAGTGTAAAAAACATGACACACAACATTTTTTTTGTCTATCTATCTAACATGTCAAACTAAATTCAAATTAAATTATGCTGCCTGCATCTTCAAAAAAAGGTTCCACAACATACTCCCGCCATTGCTGATTAAAATCTGCAATAACCTAAACAAATCACATTATACATATCTACAAATCTAACCTAAGTGGAGCCCTAATGGGACGACCAGTACGTGAGACCCTCGAAGTCTCAGTTTGACTCTGAGGCACGGTACAAGGTTCACCACCAGTACCGGACTGTGTAGATTCTTGCCCGTATGACGCCGAGACCTCAATCGGGTAAAGTCTTTGCAGTGGCCTAACTAGTACCCCATTAGCTGTCTTTACCCTAGCGATGCGGCATAGCCCGTCACGACCCTCATAAATTTCTAAAACTCTCCCCAAAGGCCAGTTCACTCTTTTTGAACCATCCGACCCAATCAAGACAATATCCCCAATATTTAAAATCCTGCAAGTGTCGTTACTCTTCCTTTCGACTAACGCTGAAAGGTACTCATTTCGGAAACGAACTCTCAAGTCTTTTGCAAGCTTCTGGATATACTGCCAACGAACCGGCAAATCTTTCGAGTCTAAAAGATTTAAACTACTCTCGTCGCCTTTACTGTTATTTATAAACATGGAAGGAGTGAGTGGTTTTAAGTTTTCGGTACTATCCGAAATATATGTGATGGGACGAGCGTTGATGACTGCCTCTACTTCACATAACGCCGTGTACAACTCTACCTGAGTCAAACTTGCCTTGCCTAACATGCGACGTATGAGATTCTTAACTAGGCCCACCATACGTTCCCAAAACCCTCCCCACCATGGCGCTTGCGGAGGTATGAAACGCCATTCCAATTTGTTTATACTAGTCTTAGATGCTACCTCCTCCCAATTGATCATATCTAATAAATTCTTAGCGCCACGAAAGTTCGTCCCATTGTCACTATAGATTACATTAATGTTTCCCCTTCTGGCGATAAACCTTTTCAGACTCAATAAGAAATCTTCAGTGGATAGTGACAATGTAAGCTCTAAGTGGACAGCTCTGTAAGTGGCACATGTGAAAAGAACGACCCAACATTTTTCTCCAGACCTTAGGTGTAATGGACCGGCCAAGTCTACACCTGTCACTTCGAAAGCGCCACCACAGGTAACTCTGTTGAGTGGGAGTGGAGGGGAAGGCAACACACACGGTTTTGCACTGTGTCGTCGGCAAATAACACACTCCCGCACAATTTTTCGCGCGAGCCTTCTTATCCCAATAATCCAATAATCTTCCCTAAGACAGTTAATAAGGGTCTGCGATCCTGCATGTTTATATTCAATATGCTTTTGCCTAACAAGTCTCTCTACTATCCTGTCCTGTCACGGTCGCCAAATGTTCGTGAATATTAACCGGCGTTATGCCTTGCCCCGAACTTCTTTATTTTGTTAAGGAAACGGTTGTAAGTTCAGGGATAAATATATAATTAGAGCGTACAGAAATTATAAAAACACAAACTTATAAAACTTACTTCAGTATAAAAAACATGACACACAACATTTTTTTTTGTCTATCTATCTAACATGTCAAACTAAATTCAAATTAAATTATGCTGCCTGCATCTTCAAAAAAAGGTTCCACGACAGCGCCAGTTACAATGCGAAGAGCTTTAGACTGGATGCCTTCTAACTTACTTAGTGCTAATGCACTACAGGGCTCCAGAAAGCAAGTTCCATAATCAAGGATACTTCTGATAATAGCATTATATATTAACTTTTGTGTTGATGGATGAGCTCCCCACCAAACACCAGATAGGCATCTTAAAATGTTTAATAATTTTTCACATCGAGCTGATACGTAATAGCAATGTGATAAACCAGTTAATTTGGAATCTAGAATGATTCCTAGAAATTTAGCATCATTACACACTGGAATTATGTCATTACCATAATGTACAGAAAATGATGGGGGTGATCGTATTCTTGTAAATAAGACGGCACAACTTTTAGAAAGATAGATAGATAAATCATTTATTCCCATCAGTACAGCACAGAAATTGAAGTAAAAAAATAGAACAATTAATTACTAGGTACCTACCTGTGTGCCGCAACGACAGAAAAAGGCAAAAACTCAGCGATACCTTTGCTCTAAGAGCAAAGCACTGGTTTTCAGTTCTGCCTAGAAAGCGCGTAACGTGAAACGACATCGACGTGACGTGATTAATTTATTATTAGGAGAATTAAATTAGATTATATTTTTATTAAATTAAAAAGATTATTAAATTATTATTGATAAGTTATTATAATATAACTATATATAATATTATCATTCACCAAATATTATTAATTATTACTGTTGTTATTACTTTTTAGTATTTAGATTAATATTGAATTTCTGAATTAATATTTACCCATCAGAATTTAACACACACAAATTGTGACACACCTATTAGAAAGTGGTAGAAACAGAAAGACTCAGTGAGTTATTATCTAACCATGATTTTAAGAGTGTTAACACATTACTTAAAGATTGACTTAATTCAATAATAGATGATCCGGATACATAAAAAACTAAGTCATCCGCATATTGTAAAATGTTAGCTATGCCTGCGATGTAAGACTCCAAATCATACGTATAGACATCGTACAGTAAAGGGCTCAAAACCGAACCTTGAGGTAGTCCTCTCCATGTCAGCCTAGATTTAAAATTGCCATCTCCCATATCTATTTTTATCAATCTTTCCGAAAGAAGGTTAATAATGAAATCGATCAAAAACAAAGGAACTTCTAGTTTTATAAGTTTGTTTTTTAAGATTTGAATGTCCACATTGTCGTAAGCACCAGATATATCAATAAATGCAGCAAGAAGGGAATGATTATTTGAGAAGGCTAATCTGATATCAGTGGTGAAAATGCCTATGCTATCCATGGTGCTTTTACCTTTTCGAAAGCCATACTGGCTGGAAGCAAGAAGAGCTTTACTTTCTAAGAACCATTCCAATCTGTTCTTAACTAAGTGTTCTGCTATTTTAGAAAGAACTGAAGCCAGAGCTATAGGTCTATATGAATTTGGATCTGCAGGAGGTTTATTATGTTTCAATAAGGGAATTAATTCCTGAGTTTTCCATGATATAGGAATTTGGTTATTAAGCATAATAGAGTTGCTCACTTGTAATAAGTAAATAAGACTGTCGTCACTTAAGTGGGATATGAATGAATAGGGGATTCCATCACACCCAGGGGCAGAATCTTTTACATAGCACAAAACACATTTTAGTTCAGTTAGGCTAAAAGGAGAGTTGAGGCCGTGGTCATGAGATAAATTATCAATCGTGTTGTTAATAGATTTGAATAAAGGTGTATTATCCGGGGAAACAAAAGGGGGAGCTAATTTATCGAGGAATTTATCAGCCACTTCCTCATTTATGAACTTCTGAGTTGGTTCTCTGAACGCCGATCTAAATCTTCGGATATTAGTCCAAATAGCAGATGGGGAAATATCAGGGGCCAAGGAAGAACAAAACGCCTTCCAACCATCCCATTTTTTTTTCTTTAGTAGTTTACGAGTTTCATTTATTATTTGCGAAAGTTTGTCAAAATTGTCATTTGTACTGTAATTATAATAATTTTTTTCAGCTACTTTTCTACGCTTTATTGCTGCTGTGCATTCAGAATCCCACCAAGGCGGTGAGGGAATATTTCTATTAGATTGTTTACGCAGAAAGGTCGAATCAGCAGCCTGTATTAGAACCAACGCAAACGCATCTGCGCACATTGTTTGATCATTAAGCTGAACGGCGGGAAGAGATGATACTTTTTGCGCAACTAGCTCCCTAAACTTCTCCCAGCTGTCACTGTCATTGTTAATTCTATGTTTCAGTCTAGGTGAACGTTTAGGACGCGATTTTAAAACTGTTTTAGGGAATAATATTAATATGGGGAAGTGGTCACTGCCGAAAGTGGAGGAAAGCGTGCTCCATGAAAAGAAAGAAGCTAAATTGGGAGATAGTTAAATCCGGGGCGCTTATGCCTTCATTAGGCTGTGTGCGTCTAGTCGGATCGCCAGAGTTTAAAATACAAAAGTTGTTTTCATCTACAATATCTAAAATTCTAGCGCCGTAATAGCTTGAGCTAGAACTACCCCAAGATCGATGTTGAGCGTTAAAATCACCCATTATCAAAATAGGTTTAGGTAGTCGCGATAGAATAGCTGCTACTTCATCATATATAGAGGATGACGGATGAGGAATGTATATTGACACAAAGCATTTATTTTGAACGGATGCAGCTAGGGTTGCCACCCGTACTTTAATATAAAGTATTGTACGTTATTTCGGGTAATTGTACTCTATACTTTATGCCAACAATAAAGTACGCGGAAATACTTTATTTAATGTGATTCGATTACTTGCGGATTAATTTTACATAAAATATACAAAAAGAGGTTGATAGGAAGAAATTTTCCGTAAAACGGACAGAAAGTCTGAATATG